AAAGCATCCTGCCATTAAGTGATTATAGGCTTCCACGAGGTAACCCGCTAAGGATAGCACACCAGAGACCAAGGACTCGAGTGCGTTCACATTTCTTCTCGCTTCGAGTTTGCCGTCTCTGGAACGCTTTACCGGCGGCCGTAACTACAGCTCCATCTGTGGAGACTTTTAAGCGGAAGCTGGACAATCATGCAGAAATGCATGGTTTGTGTCTCAATGGCTTATCCTCTTAAAATTTGAAACCACATTGTCAATGGATAAGCATACAAGCTAAATCCCCACGACCCGTCCTGTCTTCTCCCACTGTACCGACTAATCTATCTTTTCTTTCTTTCTTTATTATTTCACCTTTATTATTTCACTTATCTCAACCTATATTATCTACACTACAACCTATTATTATTATTATTACTATTCTACTATTATGACTATACCGAATGACCAACGGGTGTTAGGTCAAACTCCATTCACGGCAGCAGCTGAGTCCTAACATACTGCACACTATAAACCATAATCTTGACCAATCCTCGCACCACTCCTCTTGGAGTCTACCAGAGCTAAAGCAGTCGAGTGGCGGGATTTACTACGCATAAGTTCACCGAAGATCTGGAACTTCTACCTTACAATCAAGAAGCGAGCTCAAAGAAATCACTGGTTCATAGTAGCTCGTAATCAGGATATTGGATATTGGATTCCAGCACATGCTGTTCTTAATTTAACTTCGCTGCTGTGTGGACAGTAGCAACTTTGATCACGACGATTTTGCTGAAGTTGTGTATCAGAGCAGTGTTTAAAGTAAAGGCTCAGTTGAATACACTCAAATTCCATCAGTCTTTTATGCTATTTTGTCTCCTCTTTACAACTATCTTCAGGATTTCAGAGAAAATTCCAGTTGGTTAATGAGATTTTATTGGATTCAGATGACAGTGTAAAAACTGTAATATTTTTCGATTTGTTTTACTCATTTGTTCTGTGCATAGAGAAATTCCGCATTCACATCTCACTTTTAATGTCTTCTGCAAGACGATGCTAGACTATATAGACTCCTAGCTTAAAGGTAGAAAGTTGGGTGTTTTTTTAGAAGCTGCATCAGTCCCAACTGGCTGATTGTTGGCGGATTCTCATTACGGATACAAAAGGCTCGTTTGGCACTTCCCAGTTTACTCCATCTCTGGCGTGGATGTGGTATCTGATTACCGATCAAAGAATTTGTGTACTGCTCGGCAGTTTGCTCCATCCTCCTTTATGGCTGGTTGTGAGACATTCATTGTGAAAGACATGAAAAGGCTAGCTGTTTTCAATCATAGGCATCTGTTCTATTTCCCATGTTATGTGATGTAGAAGGGTGAGCAATATTGAGGTTAGGCTTCGATGGTGTGTTAGGTATGGAGGGTAAGTCAATCTACTGAGATGGATAGGACATGTATTACGCATTCCTAGCCATCACGTTCTTCGGAGGATAATGTTAGCTGACTTAGGATAAAGTTGGAAAACAGCTAATGGTGTTCACACCAAAACAAGAAATCAGTCCATGAAATATTTAGCAGTTAGTTTGAGCCAACCAAGTAGGGAGGTGTGGACTACCTGACTAGTTGGGGTCCTCAGGATCCCAAGAGTCGACGGTGATATGGCTCCTAATCTTATCGAGAGATTGTAAAAACGTCACTTAAATGCATGACTCTCAGTATTTGTTAGTCAGAAACGTAAATAAACAAACTGGAGTTCTGAAATCATTGAAATCTGTAGCTTATGATGAGGATGGATGCCGTAGTAGTGATTTCGTTGGTTTATGTGCACTCCAATGTTATATTGGCGAAGTAGCCTGCTAATGACCTATAGAATATTTGTAATATAGGGTAAAGTACTTCATTTGTTAACTTACGCTAACTGTATTTTTTCTTATTCATAATTAACTAAATCGAATTATTCCTTTTTATAGCTTTATATTTTCTCTGGTGATGTTGTATTACCTGAATCGTATATCACATGAAACATACCAAAGCAAAGAACAATTGAACGCATCTTTGCACAGGAAGAAGAAAGACTAGTATTTTGCAACGGGGTTCTAATCACTACTAATATGTATTTTTCAAACGAGACATCTTTCCTTTTGAATACTTTATTATTTTAAACATTTAGTTGAAATATATTTGAATATTTCACTGAAGACTTGACTTTTGAAAAAAAAAATCGAATCAAGGTCGTGCTAGGTAAGTCGGGAGTGTTCCTCACAACAAAAGTGAGATGATGAATGCGAATGTCTGGCGCTTACAACCGGATTGGTTCAACGTGCATGCCTATCTATAGGAGGTCTATGGAAAATCCTGGTTTCCCAACTTGGCGTGTACATGACCTCCAGAAACCGAACAGATCAGGTGACTACACTGCCGTGTTGATCAGATTTCAAGTCAAAGACTGAGGGGTTGAGGGTTGGGGAAAGGGTTGGCCCCTTAAAACAACCACGTGCTTTGGCCTGGGCGTCCGAGAAGTATCTCGTCCTCGTACAAACTATAAGATTTTGTGTAGATCATTTCTTGGTACTAATAATGTACCAAGTTTGTGCTTTAATAAATGATAAAAGATATGATATGTATAACCTTAGGTGAATATGCCACAGTATGACTTAATATGTATCATTACACTTGGGAGAGAAATTGTTCATGAATTCGGCTGTTTGTTTTGTAAATTTCAGTATTATGCATTTCATTACCTTGCTCAGTCGTAATAAACTGGGAAGTTCAACTTATTTACTATCCCTGGATAACAGTCTTCAATTCATGAATAATCCCCCATCCAGACGTGTTAATGAAAACGAAAACACGTAGTTTAGTGAAGACGATCTTCTCGGCTAATTCACTTTCCCCTTTAGCTGACAATCACATTTATATAAAGTGTTTCATGAAGAAGGGTATTAACGAATGTGATGAATTGTCTCAACAAACAAGCAAAAGTGAAGTCAGTAGAAATGAACAAAGTTGTTACCTTAATAGTAGAACTGGTTGAATAATTTTCTTTTGTATGCAAACCTTTGGTTTCCCCAGCTGAATGGCTGAAACTTCAGTAATGCAAAGCGGGCGAAAGCAGTTTATTCTTCACTTTGAAGGAGGCATCCTCAAAGCTTTTCCTGTTGCCTTCAACACTTTCCCAGTTATTTCTTTTGTGGTGCGACTCAAGCTACCCATATTGCTTGGCGATTTTGATTGCACAGACTAAGTAGTGCTGAGATCTCAAGTGATTCATTAAGTTTCTATTCTTTTGGGAGTATTTTAACGGTTTCACAATCTGATAATTAGTGATAACTAACACTGCAGCCATGTTTTTATTTGATGACTTCCAATTATTTTTTCGAATCTAGTCTCTTTCAAGTTGGCATTCCTCAAATAGGAAGTCCTCTTATATTCGAGGTGAGATTCTGTCAGAAACTTGGTGGGTCACAAAGAATATTTCCAACAGGTTGCAGACCTTTATCATGAACTGTCTTTTCTTTATACTCAAGATCAGATGGCCGGAAATAATCACCAACAAGAAACTATGGGAACAAACAAAACAAGAATCAATCGCTCAACAAACATGCAGGAGAAAGTGGAGATGAATTGGACACTCGCTGAGGAGGTCGCTGGGCGACATCGCGTGTCAGGCCAGTGCTCGAGTGGAACCCGAAATGGAAGCGACGAGTGTGACGTCGAAGGGTGACATGGAGGAGATAGTGTGAAGAGGAGTTGAAACAGTATGGACTAACATGGATGCAGGTGAAAAGTAAAGCAGAAGACAGAAGCAAGTGGAGACGTGTAGTTGAAGCCCTATGTTCCACTAGGAACCCAAGGGGACAATAAAAAATGTAATCAATCCGATAGAGTTGATGCAAACTTCCCAAATTAAGTGAATTGATCAACAAGTTCACTAGCTATCCTTAAACTAGGTGTCAGTACAGGACAGTCCTACGTTATCTTTCATTTGACTGGGGTCAGTGTCATGCATGACATCTGTAGATTTTCTCTCAAGGTGTTCAGAAAACTTTGCATATTGTTAGCGTCTATGTATGTTATCTGCGTACTCTTGGTCAACAAGACTTTTATCAAGTGACAAGTGAGTCTCTGAGATATCAGAGTCGATCGGGGTAGCTTCCATTAGTACATATGTATTAAGATTAAATAAGAATAGTGACAATTGGCATCTACGGTAGACATTACTGGTTGTCATCACTCCGAAGAATAATTCTAAACAAGCTGTCACATGACTGTATGTTGATTAGTAGGACTTAGTTTCTGGGTGTTCCCTTCACAACCGAATGTTGGTCGACAGGTTCAACTGTGTCACCTTCAGGTTACGGAAGAAGGCAGTTTTTAGACGCTGCTAAGCATGCCTGTGCTCGTTGAAGAGTGAAAATACAATCAATACACTCTTGTTGGAAGATGAAATCTGCTTGGTTTTCTCAGATTTTTTTCTTCCCAAGCCTCACTTAGTCTTTACAGAACAATGGAATCTAGAATTTTAGATAAAATGTTATTTACTGTTCTGAGCTCTTTGTGTAGATTGGGATGATCAACAATCTACACCACTCTCACGTTACTATCTCAGATTCTCATAAGCTAACTAACACCTTGGTTAATATAGTCCATAATTCATTCCTACTATACTAAAATATCTTTGGTGTCATAACATCAAGTCTTACTGCCTTGTGTAGTTTCAGATTAAAGACATATTCTGCAATCTCCGCTACTTTTGGAGGACTTATATCTACACCTTAACTAAGTTAGGATTGGGTGTTGAGCAGTGGTAGGCCATTTGATGAACTGCTCCTCAAAATATTCGGCCCCCCCCCCCCCAACGTGTTCTCACTGTCTCTCCTGTGAAGTCATTCAGTGTTCCTTCCCTATATTGGAGATCTTTTCATGTGCCATGGTTTCTCTTCAGAGGCCGTTGATGGCTTCTTCAAAATTTTACAAAAAGAAAATTGAATAAGAACTTAATAACAAATATCATTCTGTATAGGAAATATCATTAAATATAAAAGTGTAATCCGAAGATTTATTCACATAATTATGAGTGGTTTGTGAGATGTGTCGACACATACGGGCCTGGGCGCGTTCGTAGTTCACGTTGTATATCCTTCGTTCATTTGTTAATCTTTCCGATCAGCTTTCTTTTTGGTAGATGATCTTCTGTGAGATTTTCTTTTGCGTCTTACACAATCACTAAGGAAAAAACAACAACAACAGAAAAAGTGGTTATAAATGGAAAGAGGAGAAGTTCTAGGGTGAACTTAGTGAAGTCAGTTTTGAAGAAATCCCAGGTCGGTCTACTAAACTGAATATTTATCCAACTGTGACATCAGTGTGATTGTTAGTTTCAAAATATTATACATTTTGATGATATTTTAGATAGTTGGAGGCAATCGGCCACAGGAAGCCTTGCTTGATCTAGGTTTCGTGCTAGTTGGCACTCACCAGTCAGTCAGCAAGGCGTATCTGCAACCATCTTGAAGGAACTCATGTCCTTCCCTTCAGAGATTCAAACCTGCGTCACCCAGTGCCGCCTGTAGTCAGAGACGTTACCACTGAGCTATTCAGGCTCGCGATTGACCTCCTGTAGGACTGTAGTGGGTATTTTCATTGGACACCAGTAACTAGTGTGACGTGTCTAGTCCTTTCTTTGGTGCAGAATGAATTGATGTTTGAAAAACTTGAAATCTTTGAATCGAGAACGTTTTTATTTATTATTGTATTTTCCCCTTGGGTTCTGAGTGGGACAAAGGAATTCAGCAACACATCTCCATTTTGTCCTATTCTCTGCGGTTCTCTTCAGCTTGGCCCCAATGATTGCCCATAAACTCGTCTCCTCCTTATTACACGATATCCTCTATATTACCCTCGGACTCACGCCCAACTCGTTTTTTCCCATTCGGTTTCTATTCTACCAATGGCCTGGTCGGCGATGTCGTTCGACGGTCTCCTCAACATATACCCAGTCCATCTCCATTTTCTTTGGCTTATTTGTTGAGGAATAGGTTATTGGTTGGTCCATTTCGAGAGTTTCTTGTTTCTAATTCTTTCTGACCGGACAGCTAGCGAAAGCAGCTGTTGATAAAAGTCTGAAGCCGGTTGTTGAAGACGCTTTCCATGATGCACTGGCCAAGTTTCTGATCTATGCACAAGAACTGACGGCCAAGTTAAACTTTAAGCACCACTAACTAACTACCAATAGAGTGCGACCGCACCAGTGACCTTGAAACGCTCACTAAGCAAGTTAGTGAAACCTCGCAAATAATATTGTCATCATCAACAAAATATGTTATTAAATGGGATATCTGACAAGTTCCAGCTCAGGTTTTGGAAAGATTAATTTACGGTTCAAGCCAAGGACAAGTTAGGGTTAGGTTAACCTAATAAAGGCGACATTAGGGTTGGTCTGAGTTAGATTACAGTTAGTTTAGGGATATCTTCACCTTAGGGTAAGGTTCAGGACATTTTAGGGTTATTGTTAGGGTTGGAAGACCTAAATAATTGCATGCATAGAATGTGGTTAAATTACTCTGTTGATATAAGAATAGAACTTGTGCACTGTGGTAGAGTATGATTCCATTGTGGGTAAAATTTATTTTGATAAAGTCTCACAGTGTTATACAGTAATATTTACTGATGACCACATTTCAAGTACCATTTATTACTCAGTAAATATTACTGCATAACATTATGAGACTTTATCAATATAAATTTTACCCACAATGGAATTATACTCTGCAAATACTCCAACATATAACTAAGAGCTATTTTTATCATATTTGAGAGCAAGGTATCCTCTGTAACATTTTTTAAAAACAGTTTTTATGCATTATTTTCATAAATATATGTATTCCATACACAAATATGCCTCATTCACGTGATTGGTTCGTTCAAGGTCGTTCGCTGATTGGTAGTTTATGGTGCTTAAAATTTATCTTTGCCGAACTGACTAACTTAACATTGGTGTTTGAAATCCGAATTTGTTTTGGTTTATGCTCCAGAGTAGAGCGCAGAAGATTCTCAAACTGATTTCATAATGATGAAGGTGTGTCTTGACTTTCCGATTCTGGTTTTCGTATCCTCGTCCGTGAGGCGCGCCGGCTTAGATAAGTGAAGGAAGTGACCTCTTTCAAATATCTTCCGTTGATAGTGATTGGTTCTTGTTGTTGTTGTTGCCGTTGGTTGGTTATCTTCATCCCCTCCATCTTCTTTATATTCACTTGAAGTCCTGTCTTTACTGCTTCCTCTGTCAGTTTGTGTTGGCTTTCGCCTGCAGATCGTCGTCCTCCAAGTCCACATCTTATACAATTTTTATTTGCTATATGCGTATTGTTTAGACGTGATCATGTTAACAAGTCATTAATGTGAGTATTGTTTCCTTGGAGATGTGGTGACGTTAGCTTTAAAGTTTTAGGTTAAACTTTGTCAGCATTGTTGCCCAGTAACATACATACTAGACACTCTTTTTTCTAACAGAAATCCGATTGGCTAGATAGTTTTAGTTTATGGGAATTTCGCCGTAGGACAGTGTTTTATTGTAAGTTTTATTTGTTTTTATCACTGACTGATCTCATCATTGTATGTTAGGGTTGAACGCTGCCTGGTTTACTAGCTTCTTTTTTGATCACAGCTTGATTCCACACTGTATTTTTTGGTATAAGTATGGAATTTTCTGCATATGATATCGGTAGCCCAAATTTTGCAGGCCGACCATTGATATCAGGTGTGTGTCGGCAAGGGATCGAACCCCGGACCATGTGCATGGTCGGCGAGAGTCCTAACCACTGTGCCACTGACGCTTGTCTTAAGCCTGAAAAAAAACGAAGGAAGGTTAGGCGTGGAGTTAGAAATTGTACGCAGGAAAGTGAACCCGTGCTGAAGACTGGTCGGCCAGAAAGAATTAGCAGTAAGGAACTCTAGCAGGCAGCGAACCAACCAGAAAAGTGTTGACGAACAAGTATGGCGAAGAAAATGGAGAGGTTGGATTGGATACACGTTGACGAGACTGTCGGGTACCGTCGCGTTCCAGGTTATCACTGGAGTGGAGCCTGAATGGGAAGTGATGAGTTGGGTATGAGTTAGAGGGTGATATGAAGGCGATGAGAAACCATGGACAATTGTGGAGTCATTTGAAAAGACTGGAGAGAACAGGATGACATGAAGATGTGCTGCTGAAGCCCTGGGTTACACTCAGAACTCTAGGGAACAGTAATAATAATAATAGTAAGAGCAAATAGTACTAGGGTTGATGATGATCATCATCAGCTAGGCAAAGAGCAACGGGATTCCACTGGATGTTTCTATGTATTCGTCTTTATCACTTTTTGTTTCATCATAAAACTTGTTTTTTTCTTTTCTTGTGTTATTTTGTGCAGTGTATCTCTTGATCTTTCTACCTCATCAGTAAACTGACTATAAGTTTCCTATAGTTTGGTTTGTAAGGGTCAGTTATGCTTTTACGAGTTGATCACGGATTGATATCAGTTAGAGAACCATTGAAAACCAGTACTGGAGTATTGGACAGCTGTGTCATCCTAGTTTGAGAATCACCGGCATTACGCACCCACTGGGATTCGAACCCAGGACCTTCCGGTCACAAGGCAAGCTGGCTCGTATACCATTCAGCCACTTGGACCAGATTCAATGGCTAGCCTATGAATTCTAACTTCTACCAATTCGTGATTTAGCGCGACCCCAACCAATGTCGTCGGTGGGACATCCATCCGTGATCAACTCGTAAAAATATAACTAACCCATACAAACCAAACTACAGAAAATTATTCTGATGCTCGCTAGTGACTTGCTACAGGATGGAGTTTCCTGGAGTTCTAGTGAGAAGTCGTGACCATTGAGGTCCATCCAGATGTCACGTGTGAGGATGGATGTCCCACCGACGACAATGGTTGGGGTCGCGCTAAATCACGAGTTGGTAGAAGTTAGAATTCATGGGCTAGCCGCTGAATCTGGTCCCAGTGGCTGAATGGTATACGAGCCAGCTTGCCTTGTAACCGGAAGGTCCTGGGTTCGAATCTCACTGGTTGTGTACTGCTGGTGATTTCCAAACTAGCATGAAACAGCTGTCCAATACTCCAGTACTGGTTTTCAATGGTTCTCTAACTGATATCAATCCGTGATTATAAGTTTCCAGATCGTAAGTGTTACGAACATCCTGGAATAATTTGAGCACCGAGTCAGACTAATTCATTATAAATTATTTAAATTAATCCCAGCGTGTTTAAGAAAAAATCAAAACAAGATTTTTCTGAATGTTTCGCTGTGTAAGCCACAGATTTATTCGGATTTTTATTTGACATTAGTCATTACAAATATATGTGATGACTGCTTACATATTTTCTATTGGTAAAAATGTCCATGGACAAATGACCTTCAAGTAAACTGAATTCAATTTATGTAAAAAATTTTTGACTATCTATTTTGATGATTAATAAATAATCCGAATAAATCTGCTGAAGAAGCTGTGGCTTACACAGTGAAACGTTCAGAAAAATCTTGTTTTGATTTTCTTGAACACGCCGGGATTAATTTAAATAATTTGTAGTAAACTGATTAGTTTGATTGATTTAGCTTTATGCGTTTCGATGTTCAAACAGGTCTGACAAAGATGAAAATCACTGAGGACAGACTTCAACAATAAACGTGTCAGTGAGAATTTGAGGTGAAAATAATTCACTATACAAGTGTAAAATATAATGTCTATAATTCGTCTAAGGTCTAGGAAATGTCTTTGGTACCTTGAATTCCACATTTATCGGTAGAAAAATTTTGTTCCGAACAGTTAGAGCATGTTGCTCGTTCATTGTCTAGCTGAGAGATTCGAAAAAGTTCTATTTATTCTGCACTTGGATTTGTTCTCTTATTGGTCAGCAAAATAATTTTCCAGCACTAGTTTGCAGGGATTCGAGATAGATCACATATTGGCATCAGTTAAGGAACCACTGAAAACCCCCGGGGGTAGTATTGGACAGGTGTTTCATCCTAGTTTTGAACTCTTCATTAGTACTCAACCAAGACCTTCAGATCGCGAGGTGATCTCACTGTCCATTTAGTCATTGGGAGGGGGAGGGGAATTAAGCAGCCGATAAATTCTAACTTCTGCCAATTCGCGAAACATACCTCCACAATCAATTAACTGTCTAGTACTCCGTGGTAGTCAGCGATTCTCTGACTGATGTCAGTCAGTCAGTCCATGATCTAATTTGGAATCAATCAATTCTCTAGAGACCAACGCTTGAAAATTAATCTAATACTTACTAGTAACTAACTGTAGGATGAAGTGCCTGAAATTCTAGTGGGCAGTCGAGAGTGGGAACAAGTACTCTCCGGTGAAATTTGGCTAGCAGTTGGAAGAAGTTAGAAGTGATGGGCCATCTGATTCTGTCCCAGTGACTGAATAACCAGTGCACCTTCCTTGTGGATGCATATCGCTGAAGAGCTTCAAACCTTGACAAAAACAACTGTCCAGTTGTCGTTCTAACTGATTTCTGTTAAATCTTTCACATCGTGATCGCTTGTCATCTAAGCGGTGCATTTCGTTCGTTTTTCAACAAAGAAAACTGAAGTGTCTAACTACTGATGATAAAAGTTTCGCTCTTTTCATAAATTATTGACCTCTCAGGTGGTTATTATTTTAGCCTCAGCATCCATGTAACTTGAATATGTTCCAACTGTTGCCATATTGAAGTCACTGTTTCGTAGCAATGAATTTGTATGTGCTTATCGTGCATCAATTTTCAACTCAAGAAAAATCAAACAAATGTTATCACACCATCTAATATTCTGGAATCTTCTGTTTTATGTTGTTAAAGCTAAATGGTTTATATACTTCACTTTCCCTTGTATTAATTTACATTCATAACGATTAACCTGAACTATTTCCTCTTTTTGATGCAGTTGTGTTCTCTGAGCTGGATAGTTAATTTGCGAAGCTTTCATCGCCCTACTAGGCGACATCTTCAGCCCATACTTCAATTTGAAGTGAGCTTCCATGAGTTTATTAATCATCTCTCCTGGTGAACTTGGACTTGATTGGTTGATTTTGTGTGTTTTCACACCTTCTAGGTTATTCGTATTGTAATCCATTGTTTCTTCGACTTGAACTCTGACCCTTTGTGTATGAGGTTTCTTTCTTATCGGTTGATATATTTTGTCTATCTCGATGTGTCTATTAATTGACAATTCACTGGAATACCGGACCTCTAGAAATTCTCCAGCATTCCAGGTGTTCCCTCTGACTAATATTTGAACGTTATCACAGTCGAATTGATGTCCGTGGTTGTCTGTATATAGTGATATGAGGGAGTGGATATCACGTCTTTTGGAATGCATAAACCTATGCCTAACAACGTACTTCCAATTCAAAGGCCAAATATATGAACAAGTCAAAGGAACACCTATGGGATCGTCAATATCAGGTTTAATTGCGGAAGCAGTTATGCAAAGGCTCGAAAACATAATTCTACCAAAGATTAAACCCAAGATTTGGATACGCTACGTAGACGACACATTTGTAATTATCAAAAGAAACGAGTTAGATAAAGCTCACAACCTGATAAACAATGTCTTCAACTATATCAAATTCACAGGAGAAGAGGAATCAGAGAACCAAATTCCATTTTTGGACGTCTTAGTCAAGCGAACAACGACAGGGGAATTAGAAACTCAAGTCTATAGAAAATCAACTCACACAGACCAAATCCTGAATTACAACAGGAACAATCCAATAGCACACAAGAGCAATTGCATACAAACACTATTCAAGAGAGCCAGGACTCATTGCAGCACTCCCACCTTAAGGAAAATTGAAGAGAAATATCTCATGGACGTCTTCCAAAAGAATGGAAATCCACAGAACTTCATCAAAAGCCACCTACCCCCAAGCCATCCTATCAAATCAAAAGCCCCCAAGGAAAGCACAAAGAAAACCGCCCTACCATATATAAAGGACATCTCAGAAATTACTGTAAGACTCCTCAAACTTTAGGAACTGATGTCGCACACAAATCAACAAAATCACTTCACTCATTTCTGTGTCAACCAAAAGACTCAACAACGAAAGAAGATAAAACCAAAATCATCTACAAAATAAATTGTAACAACTGCGAAAAGCACTACACTGGCCAAAGTGGACATCCTCTTCATCTTCTTATACATGAAGAAAAACTCGCTGTCAAAAGACATGATATCCACTACCTAATATTCCTGCATACAGACAATGAGGAACATCAGTTCGACTGGAACAACGTTCAGATATTAGACAGAGGAAACACCTGGAATGCTGGAGAATTTCTGGAGGTCTGGTATTCCAGTGTATTGTCAATTAATCGACACATCGATATAGACAAAATTTAACAACAGATAAGAAGGAAATCTCACACACAAAGGGTCAAAGTTCAAGTCAAGGAAACAATCAGTCCCAATACAAGCACCCTGGAGTGTGTGAAAACACACCAAAGCAGACAATCACATTCAAAGTCACTAGAAGAAATCTAAAAGCTCACTTCAATTCAAACTGAAGTATGCGCTGAAGATGTCTGTTGCCTAGTAGGGCAATGAAGGCTTCGCAAATTAACTAGCTCAGAGAACAAAACCACATCAAAATCATCCAGCTGAGCTACAAATCTTCTCTATCATATCTAAACTATTTCCTCTGCCTGAAAAGAAGCTGTGAAAATTGCTACCTTTAAGCACGAAGAATGTTCAATTCCAATTTAAAAACCAGCTGTACATATTCAGATTAACGGGATAGCTATGGGTTCACTTTTGGATCCTGTTCTTGTGGACACTATAACGGCTCATCTGAACAGACTCGAATGAAGCCGGAAATGCAGAGAATCACCTATTACTGTAGGTATGTTGACGACACGTTTGTCGTCTGTAATAATATGGATCACGCATCTATGATTTTTGAAAAATTCACTGTGACTTATCCTCATATAGCATTTACAATGGATCATGAACGTGAGAATCAGTTCCACTTCCTAGATTTCAACATAAAAAGGAGAAATGATGGGATGATTGAAAAATTCACCTATAGGAAATAAAAACTTAGACTAGTCAATACTTGAAGTCAGTTGGTTGATGGTGACTCGCAGAGGAATCGAGGATGCGCATTTCGTCTTATTTGGGGTTCGTCAGCTGGATGTACCTGCATTTCCCAGTGAGTGAAGATGTTTCCACCGAGGCTTGAACCTAGTGCCCATAGTTTCAAGCGCCAAAGCATTATTCACTTGGGCCGAGAGAGCCACTTCTTGTGCCGTGGGTCTTATTAAATTATTTAATTCAATTTTAGATATTCCTCTTGATTGATTGGATCGAAGTGCTTGCTCTCAGGTTGACATTTTAGCTCCTTATGCAAGTGCTTCGAAGATCTCTGGTCATAAAATTTGAAGTATCACAGCTTTAACAGCTTTTAACCCTGAATAATTCGTCTGCTTACATCATCTTTGAAATTATATTGCTTATACTTTCTATCTATAGCTGGAAGTCACTGTAAAAAGTATGTCCAGACACTGTTTTGTGACTTGTAATTGATTTTGTCTAGGATGTACGCAGCTGATGAGAATCCACGAGATACAAACGAGCTCGTATTATCCTGCAACTGAATATATATTCGTTCTTTCTTTATTCATATCACAGTCTGCTAGATACCGTAAATAGTAGTCAAGGAAGTAAGCGTAATTGTACATACTACTGATCTATATAAGTAGGTGAACATCACTTAGGTTAATCAGTAGTAGAGATGATTTCGATCTGACTAGCTAACAAGCATTACTATTTGGTGTGAATTGTATCCAACTACTCATATCCAATAGTCAGTAGTATAAAATTAACGATGAAATTGTTACTGAATTAGATAACTTAATTATTTAGACCCAAATAAATATAGATTATATTATTATTAGAGGTGAGCTTACTCATAAACAGTACGTGTACCTTTCCTAGTTGAATTCTCCTTTGGCGTTACAGGTGAAAGATCCATGAGAGTTGAACAATTCTTATATTGAATTTTTAATGAAAAATTTTTAAGTAAAGAGAAGGCTATTCCACCGAATTCAAGAGATGTTATACCTGAAAAAAAGATAAATTTAATTTTTACATGGGTATTATATATGCAAATGGTTTGTAATCGGTAATTAGACATATCACGGAGTCAGTGAAACAGTATTATTGTTTACTGAATGACGAAGTTCCCAACACACAATTTATCTATCGTTCATAATCACATTGTGGATTGTAACTAAACAACTTCGAAACTTCCATTCCATAGTTTTCTGTATTCCTTTCCCATTCATCATGGGGGATGGAATTTTCCACATGTCCGGATGGACAGGTGCTGAATCATTCCCGTTACACGTGTTTATTGTTGATTCGATAGACAAGGCTTCTGTTATCATTCTCTCCCTCCATCCTGTGACATTAGATTTTATAACTGTCATCTCATCACACCCTACTGTATGATTGTGTGTAATTGCACGTTGTGCTATAGCTGAACTATTCTCTAGATTTCTCATCTGAGTGTGAGGTCAACTAATGGAGATTTTTCTAGGTTTTTGTGCCTCTCGGCGAGTCTGACTGACCGGTCCCGTTCTACTATTTGGCCTGATAATCATTGAAGGGAAGATATACTAACAAATGAAGGGAGTTACCATGGGGTCACCAATATCCCCGATTGTGTCAGATATATTCACGGACGGGTAGGAAGACACAGTGATTGAAATGTCCATCCCCCGCCGTTCAAAGTATGGCACATTCCCGGTACTCAGAACACAGGACATAGACAGATTTTTCGAACATATCAAAGTTAACAAGTTAAACACTCGTCTTTACAGAAAACCAACACATTACAAACGATTCTTGGATTTCTGATCATCCCATCCTATATAAGTAAAAATAGGATTGATGAAATGTTTAAGTGATAGGGCACAAAATCTAAGTAGTACCAAGAAAAACCTAAGACTTCAAATGAGACATATAGGAGAATCTTTAAAACTTTGTAAGTACCCTGATAAATTGATCAGGACGTATGTAGGAAAGTGTAAAAATACAATAAATAATAACAGTAGTGATATTGATATATAATATTAATGACGAAATTCATGTCAGACATGTACAGGATAATGACAACACCAACAATAGGGAATATAAATCATCAGTAGTACTTCCAGACAAAGAAGGAACCTTGGATACCACCTTACAGAGAATTCTTAACAATGCAGATAGGAATAAAAGTGGCATTCAAACACGCAAATTCACTTAGGAATCAGCTTTGATGGTTACTGGATCCTATGGAGCCTATTAAACGAAACACTTCAGTTTATATAATACCCTGCTTGCAGTGATTGTCAGGTCAAATACATAGATCAAAGTAGTAGAACGGGATCGGTCAGTCAGACTGGCCGAGAAGCACAAAAACCTAGCAAAATCTCGATTAGTTGACCTCACACTCAGATGAGAAATCTAGAGAATAGTTCAGCTGTAGCACTCACTACATGCAATTACACACAATCACACAGTAGGATGGGATGAGATGACAGTTTTAAAATCTAATGTAACAGGGTGGCGGGAGAGAGTGATAACGGAAGCTTTATTTATCGAATCAACAATAAACACGTGTAATGGGAATGATTCAGCACTTGTCCATTAGGACATCTGGAAAATTCTACCACCCCTATGATGAATGGGAAAGGAATAAAGAAAACTATAGAATGGAATTTTCGAAGTTGTTTAGCTACAATTCACAATGTGATCATGAAAAATAGATAAATTATGTTAGGAACTTCGTCATTCAGTAAACAATAATACTATTTCACTGACTCCGCGATATGTCTAATAAACAAAGTAATATGGAATGTTCTAGTGACTTTAAACCACTGTGAACACCCAATAGGTTGGAACACACCAAAAACTTTGGAATGCTCATTCAGAGCAAGTTCAGTGACACTATACTGATGAAAAATTGTTGAATAAGGCCTAATGATATATCAGAAAGGATACTTAGTTAGTTTTAGGTTAGATTTAGAAGACGAAATCTATCTTTCAGTTTTACAGCTTTTTTCGTGATCATCACTGATGCGTTAGCGGCTTTTGGGTGTCTGCCTACGTTCTCACTGTATAAATGATACAACGGTGGTTAAGCATAAATGCGAAGTTCAGTCAATTCTCTCTGACAGTGACAATATTCTTAGCCAAGGAATCAGTATTACTCCCTCCCTCCACTAAATGATTCGTTATTGGGTACATTTTCAAAGTGCATTATCCAATAGGGATAAAAGGAATTACCTTATGTCTTAATGAATATTGTTGGTAAGCTAGAACTATGGTGAACACATATAATGCTATGCAGTTGTCCTGACTTACTGAAATAGGTGGAATAAGGTTTGAACTCATGACCCATTCATTGGATGTCGAGTGTGTAAGCCAATGTTGGTGATTCGTTTATTAGATCTAAGAAACCACTTACTATTGCTTTGATATTCCTATCACTAATACTGTGATTATGTTTGCTCACTGCTACTTAACCATAGAATTTTATTAATCAATGAGGATGTTAGTTTAATCTTGACTGTTGAAAAATTACTTTCCGCATACACCACAGATTGATATCAGTTAGAGGAATTTGTTGTCTTGAAACTCACCTGGTTCATGGGCTGATAGTGGTATCCGTTGAACAGCACTCTGCATCATAATTATCTTTACGAATGACAGGATCAGTGTGCTAGTGAAAATTATATTCGTCATTTTCGAATAATATATCTAAAAAGGATAAAAGTATATTATTATTATTGTTTCCTTTAATTCCTAGAGGAACATAGGGCTTCAGCCGTGCGTCTCCATTGCGTTCGGTTCTCTGCTAGAGTCTTCAACTGGCTCCAAGTCTGCCCACACGTTTTCATCTCCTCTTCACATGACCTCCTCCAAGTCACCCTTGCACTGACGACCAACTTGCCGCTTCCCTTTCGAGTTCCACTCGAGCAATGGCTTGTCTAGTGATGTCACTTGATGGTTTCCTCAGAGTATGGCCAATCCATCTCCATTTCTTCCTGCCTATTTGTTTCACAATCGGTTCCTATTGGGTTGGTTCGCTCATTGCCAGAGATCTCTGTTGCTGATCTTTTCTGGCCGTCCATCTGATCTTGAGTATTGAGCGAAGACAACTGTTGATGAAGGTCTGTAGTTTGTTTGAGATGCTCTTTATGACGCGCCAAGTCTCTGATCCGTTTGTTAAGTAGCACTGACTTCACATTGGAGTTGAAAATCCGGATCTTATTTTTGATGCTGAGTGTTGTTGACCTCCACACAGACTTGAGAGTAGTGAAAGCTTGTCTTGCTTTTCCGATTCTTGCTTTGATATCCTCGTCAGTTCCTCGCCTGTAGTTGAAACGATGCTTCCCAGGTAGGTAAAGGAGGTTGTTTCTTTCAGGTTCCTCCCATTTATGCTGATCGTTGTCTGTTGTTGTTCTTGTCCAAGAATCTTCATCACCTCCGTTTTCTCTATGTTCACCTGAATTCCTTCCTATCTTTGATGCTTCTTCTGCCAACTTGTTGCTTTTCGCTTGCATATCTTCCAGTTTGTGGGAAATCAGACATATATCATCGGCGAAGTTCAGATCCTCCAAGTTTTTGTGTGTGTCCATTTTATGCCTGTTTCCTCATTGCCCACTGTTTGTCGCATTATCCAATCTACTGCAATCAGGAAAATCATTGGCGATTGTCTTACTCCTGTCCTGTGATATTATTATTTTGTTGTCGCTTGTTACCCTTCTTGTTGTGAATTATTTTCCTGTGCTGGTGTTGTTCTGATTGTTTCATTCCTTGTTTTCCTGGTTTTAAGGGGAGCAACCCACAAGGTCGCTTCTCTCTAAACTATAATTTAATGTGACAATCCCCTTCTCAGGCGTGAGGCTAGCAACCCTACCCTGTAAACAAAGCTGCTACAGAAACTTCAGCACGATGAATCTCCTTGCGCCAAAAGAAAAAGGATAAAAGTATATATATGTATATCTATTTCTAGCAATCTGTTAAGTGTGGTTAACAGATGCATCCAGTGGTGAAATCACTCACCATTCAACGGGGATGCAGGTATATCCAACTGAGAATATTCGAGTAGGCGGAAATGCGCTACTGATGCGTTTCACTACTAGCCATTAGCAAACGAAATAAAGTCATGTTATTCATCAGATATATTATGGAATTTATTAAAACAAATTAGTTCCTTTGATAAATATGAATAAGTAAGGTATTTAGAAGACAAATTTCGTGACATGATATTGTCATTTCGTAGTTTCTTTAAAATCGCCTTACAACTAACATGGTTCACAATAATAAAATAGAATAAAATGCATGGCAAATACTCAGTTATATAAAACTTAAAAGACATACATACCAATGACCAATCATATGGAAATAGGTCGAGTAGTTAGTCCATGGTAGGCAAGAAGGTTGAAGTCTATTGTTCTGTTTTGTACACATAGTTTAGGATGTATGTGATTAATCCTCGAAGTGATTCCATCACCTTCAATAACCAGCCTCGAATTAGAGTTATGTGATGAAATAATTGTGAAGCAGTCATTAATATTGATTTTGTGATCTGACATTAATAAGTGCTTTGCAATGGATGATGCTTATGGATTTCTATTCAGATTAATTGCATTGGGATATTCTGTGTTTTTCAATAACAACTTTGGAACATGTTCTTTTTGACAACATTGTAACATTCTGTTGGTTCTACCGATTTAAGTGTCACCTCAACTACAGGTAAGTTTGTAAAATGCAGTTCGAAGTAGGAGTTCACAGGGGGCCACAAAATATGTACGAGTGACATATTGGTGCATTAGCGTAAATATTTACATTCAGTTTCATTAGCTAATGGTAGTCAAAATAATAAATATTAAGTTCGGGTACGTCTGATCAAATAGTAACTCAACGCGTCATAGAACAGAGCATAGAATGGAAGTCAAACCTCTGCCTCAACTTCATTCACTCTGAATACACCTTAGACAGCGTTGACCACGAAGTAATTTGGAAACTACTTTAACAATATGAAGTGCACTACCACAAATGTTTATCAACCTCATTCAACAGCTGTATAACAATGTCAGACGTCAAGTGATCTACTATGCATAACTCAACGAAGACTTTGAAGTGAATACTGGAGTAAGACAAGGCTGTCTACTATCATCGATGATATTCCTAATGTCGATGGACTGGATTATACGACAGACCATGTCTGGTGAGTGAGAAGACAGGAATACGTCGGGCCGATAAGAAGACTCTAGAAGATCTGGAATTCGAGGCGGACGACTTATGTCTGATGTCACACATACTCAAAGACTTACAGGCGAAAACCAACAAACTGACAGACGAAGCAGCCAGTGAAGACAGGCCGTCAAGTGAACATAGAGAAGAGGGAGGTGATGAAGATAACCAACCAACAACAACAGCAGCAACATCCAGCGCCAATCACTATCAACGGGAGGGATTTGAAAGAGGTCACTTCATTCAATTATCTAGGGATCATTGACTCAACTACAGGAGGAACGGACGACGATGTCAAATCGAGAATCGTGAAGGTGTGAATCACATTCATCAACCTGTAAACAATCTGGAAATCTTCGCCACTCAGCGTCAACAACAAAATTAGGATTTTCAGTACAAATGTCGAGTCAGTTCCTCTATACGGATCAGAAACTTGGCGAGTCACAAAGAATATTTCCAACAGCCTGTTGCAGACCTTTATCAAAAACTGTCTTCGCTCTACACTCAGCCTCACCAACAAGAAACTATGGGAACAAACAAAACAGGAACTAATCGCCCAACAAATATGCAGGAGAAAGTGGAGATGGATTGGATACTCGCTGAGGAGGCCACTGGGTGATATCGCACGTCAGGCCAGTGCTCGAGTGGAACCCGAAAGGGAAGCGGCGAGTGTGACGTCCAAGGGTGACATGGAGGAGATCATGTGAACAGGAACTGAAACAGTATGGACTAACATGGATGCAAGTGAAAGGTACGGCAGAAGACAGAAGCAAGTGGAGGCGTGCAGTTGAAGCCCTATGTTCCACTAGGAACCCAAGGGAACAATAATAAAAATAATAATAATCACTTACAGTTTTTGTAAACGCGCCACAAACAGGTCTACAAAATTGCTTTCTATATATATATATATATATTGACTAAACGTCAGTTGAGTTGCTTTTTCCAGGAAATAAAATTTTGTCCCTATGCCCTTGTCATATTTGATTAGCCTATGAATGACACATAATATGGATTCAATGTTTCAATGACAGAAACGGAACTCTTTTATTGGCAAATGAATTATAAAAAGTGTTCATATAATCTTTTATTTAAAACAATTAGTACTAATGTAGGTTGATAGTAATGATAAATTGTTTCTGAACACACAGCGGGGTAGTGGCGGAGGAGCCTAATCACCTCAGTGTATTTCAGTAAACACTGTTAACCGTTTTTAAAAATAACTTTATAATCTGTTTTGACATCGATCCTATGGACCATATCAACTAGACGTCTAGCTCTAGACGAAGGTGATAGTTTACATTTGCATCTATCGGTCGGTCGGTCGGTTTTCGACATAGAACTTTGCACATATGTGCGGCGGCAGTTCAAGTCGCCACACTCCATGTAGCACACAAAACAAGAGAAGAAGGTAGAAGAACTGCATAATATAGACAGTAAACAGAGGTGTGAGACAAAGGAATAGTAATAACGGAGAACAAAACAGTTTCATCGGAAATCATAAGTCACAAGGAGTGGATGCATCTGCGCCACTGAGAACGATTTTGAGCCATGTCACCAATTGTTTCCAACCATTGGTTTTTACCGTCCCGTGGACCCCAACTGGTCAGGAAGTCTACACCTTCCTACGTGGCTTAGACTAACTGTTGTAGATTTCATTGACTGATGCCATGTTTTCGTTTGACCGCTGCTAGCTCTTTTCCAGCCTGGCCCAATATCAGCTAACATTTCCCGTCGAGGAAGGCGATGACTAGGCATACGTAATACATGTCCTAACCATCTCAGTCGATGTAATTTCACAGTTTCGTCGATTGATTTCCCCTTCTTACCTAGCACTCAACGCCTAACCTGAATATTGCTCACCTTATCATACCAATTCACGCGGGAGATAGAACGCAGACACCTATGATCGAACACAGATAATCTTTTCATGTCTTCTGCTCTCAATGGCCAGGTCTCACAACCATAAAGGAGGACGGAGCGGACTGTTGAGCAGTACACACGCCCTTTGGTCGATAGTCGGATATCGCGTCTACGCCAGCGACAGCGTAAGCTGGCATATGCGAAACTAGCCCTCTGTATTCGTGCTGAGATGTCGTCGGAGATCAACCCGTTGGGGCTGATGGTACTTCCCAAGTAAGTGAAGCGGTCAACGTGCTCTACCACTTCACTTCCTATTTGTAATCTAGGAGTCGGTGTAGTCCAGTCCTGCAACATTATCTTACATTTTACAGGGGTGAATTGCATGCCAAACATACATGCACTTTGGAATATGCTCTGCCAACCTTACATGCAAAGCGCGATTACTCCTCCCTGTGAATATGTGTCCACACATATGTAAGTTCGTATATATTGTGGGATGTGACATAATTGCTTGAGCACTTTCGAGGTTTGTAAAAAGGAGCATATTTTTGGCTGGGCTGCATGAAAAGTCCTACAGATGACTGAGTTTAGCCCCTGTCTTAAAATCCTGCTGTTTACTTCTCCATTGTATGGTAATT